CCATATCCTGTTGTCTGCAGCTTTAAGTAACGATTTTTTATTGGGTTAAGAAATTGAAATTGGTTTCCTCATTTAGTGAGAAAATAAGAATTGTATGATGAGCTTGAAGGTTTCTTTTTTGTGTTATAGTTGATGCTTTCAGTCTCAATCTTTAATATACATCTAAGATTTGTATATGTTGAGCGCCTACTTGTGCCAGGCACCACATAAGTCCCTCGAATGATGATGGTGAGCCAAAACACTCATGACCACTAGCCCACAAATAGACATAAAATTATCAGTATGAGAAGCACATCAAGAAATAGTACAGGAAACTCATATTGTGTGTTTCATACACTCTGTCTGACCTTAATGATATATCACTATGTCACTGACCTCTCCAATTTCTTCTATTACCAATTTCAGCAACCCACAGGACAAATGGGAACTCTGTTCCCTCAGCCCAGATGCTAACCTTTCTTAACTGTCTCTTGAATAACCTTTATCCATCCTTCTCACAGCTTAAATATTCATATTTTGGAAAAGCCATTTCTACCCACTTCCCCAGAATAAATAGATCCCCTATGATTTTATTCTCTTCTCAAATAATTAGCATTCTATAAACATTTAAACTTTATAATGGGGAATATAAAATTTATTTTTGGATCAGAGAATAGACTTTACATATCTTCAATTATTTTTGAAGCATCATGTAAAAAAAATTGGATTACGTCCACAGATTTGAATAGAGAATTAGAACCAGTGAGTGGGAGATAAAAAGAGAGGAAGGTTTCTTTTAAATAAAAGAAAATCTGAATAATTGCACACATTTTAAATAAAAATGGTGTGCCACCCAAATGATAATCTCTACACTTCTTTCATTCCAATAGCTCCATAATAGTAATAAAGACATGAGTTTTTAACTCAAACCACCTTAATTTGTGATCCCATGCTTCCTAATGATGTAAGACTTAAATTTAATGTGTCTTCTTATATTTCTTTCTAAGAATGTGGTTACTGCTGTTATTTTCTTTGTGAGGTTTAAAAATCATGGGCATCAGAATGATGGCTAAAGGATAAAAGCTGTAAGGGTAGAATGAAAAGGTGATGATTAGCTGAGGTGCTATTAGGCTGTTCATTGAACGTTGCTTTTGACTACTTCTTCAGCAGACACACCAACTACATGGAAGCCGGAAACCACACTGAAGTATCAGAATTCCTCCTCCTCAGTCTATCAGATGATCCTGGATTGCAGCCCCTCCTCTGTGGAATGTTTCTGTCCATATACCTGGTCACCATTCTTGGAAACCTGCTCATCATGCTGGCCATTAGCTCTGACTCCCACCTCCACACCCCCATGTACTTCTTCCTCTCCAACCTGTCTTTCGTTGAGATCTGTTTCATCTCCACCACTATCCCAAAGATGCTGGTGAACATCCAGGCAGAGAGCAAAAACATCTCCTACATCGGATGCCTCGTTCAGGCGTGTTTTTTTACAATTTTTGTTGGGATGGATGATTTCCTTCTGACCGTGATGGCCTATGATCGGTATGTGGCCATCTGCCAGCCCCTACACTATGCGGTCACCATGAACCCTCGCTTCTGTGGTTTTCTGGTTCTGATGTCTTGGTTCATCATTTTCTGGGTCGCCCTGCTTCATATTCTACTGATAATGCGGCTAACCTTCTGTATGGGCACTGAAATTCCACACTTTTTCTGTGAACTGGCTCAGATTCTCAAGGTAGCTTGCTCTGACACCCTCGCTAATAAAATCTTCTTGTATGTAGCCACTGTCCTCCTTGGTGTGTTTCCTCTCACTGGAATTCTGTTTTCTTACTATCGGATCATCTCCTCACTAGGGAGGATGGCCTCCACTAAGGGTAGGTATAAAGCATTTTCTACCTGTGTGTCTCACCTCTCTGTGGTCTCCTTGTTCTATGGGACAGGCCTGGGGGTCTATCTCAGTTCTGCTCTAACTCATTCTTCCCAGAGAAGTTTGATTGCCTCAGTAATATACACCGTGGTCACCCCCATGCTGAACCCCTTCATCTACAGCCTGAGGAACAAGGATGTAAAGGGTGCCCTGAGAAGTCTCTTTGGCCGAGCAGCCTCTTGTCCATGATGGGTCATTTGCCTGAGAGCTAAGTGGACATTGTGGTACCAGAGGCATAGTCACACATTCAAATATCATGGTTCTGTTTTTTTTCATAAAAGACATGCTTTATTTCTTCTATTCTCAAAGCAC